GGTCGGTACTTCAATTTCATATCATGGTTGTGATTATAATTAAGAACCATAACTCAGAGGTCTTTCGACTTTTTCAAGAAACTTATAAAATCTATAATCTTAGTCCTCAGGGGCTACTCTGTTCAAAATTCATTGAAACCATTTACCGGCTCCCACTTAACGTCATGCTAAAACTAACATATGTAAACACTTCTTTTGTTTTCGGCCATCGCTTTGGTGAATCTAGATTCAATGCCCAGCCGCTAGTATTTTACATTATGTGAGATAATGTTTTAGCTTTAAAATTTGATATATTTCTACGAAGGGCATTAGTCTGCAAAAAGTAAGAAAATCAAACATTAAAAAAAGTAACGCACTGCTGTGACGATGGGCTGGTCACATCTCACGATACACTAATGAAAGATAGAAAGAAACACTGCCTTAAAGAAATATTGAGTAAAAATCGAAGGATGTGTAGAATGAATGGAAAGGACAGAGAAAAATGGGAGGAGGACTTAGATTAGAATAGAGTTATTTTTATTCAATATATATTATATTTAATTCTTTTTGAAAGTCATATTTATGTTACCACTGGCATGTAAAAATAACTCAGTCCTGGAAAATCTCATAGCAATGCTCCCCATAGTAAATACCATGAAAAATTTTGCTATGGAAATAACTGTAATAAACTTATTTAGTTGTCTCAATAATAGTGAGATCTCTAACCTTTTTTACAGCTTAAGCTGCAGAGCTTAGTCTGTTTGACAGTTTAGATAATATATGGGGCTCACTAAAGCTTTACGTTGAGAGTAATGCCAAGACAAACCATAGACTCAGGAGGGCTCAATTTTTCTTCGTTTTAAAAGACGATGATATTTAGATTTTTAGTTGAGTTGAGGAAAGCCTTCACCTAAATAAAAGTCTATGTCTAAAAAACAAGCGACAAATAACCATTCAAATTTAGATTATAGTTAGCAAGCCTGCAGACAATACTTCGTTTATTCAAATATTATTAACGTTGCAACGGAGTTTTAAACAACTAATTTAAAATTGTGGTTATATTATACGAGAGCTGGACTCAAGAGCTAACTTCGCCGCTGGATCGTTTGGTCAGTTCATACGCGAGTGTTAGATTAGCATTGCTAATATCGATTCCCGCAACGTCCCTTGCAGAGCGATGTCTGTTGTGTTCTGGTGTAATTAATGGTCATTGTTGTGCAGTTTGACTTGAGATTTTAAAGGTTCTGATTGTATTTTGGGATGATCCTGCACGAAAATAGTATTTGTACATATATATATATAATATATATATATATATATATATATATATATCTATATATATATATATATGTATATATATAGAGAGAGAGAGAGAGAGAGCAGTTTTTCATTGCCTAAAAACACAGACAAAAAAACAATTTCTAAAAATAAATACTATCTAGATCGATTTATTGCCCCAGAAACTCCCCTGGATACAAAATTTTATGAAAATCGTTGGAGGCGTTTCCGAGATTCCGATAATATATATATATATATATATATATATATATATATATATATATATATATATATCAGCGACCTGGTAAGATATGCAGGAAGTCGATGGATGCAGGTGGCTCAGGACCGTGCTTTGTGGCATTACTTGGGGGAGGCTTATGTTCAGCAGTGAAGGGCTGTAATGATGATGATGATGATATATATATACATATACCCAAAAATCATTAAAATATTCTTAAATATCGATATTATATTAATACATTGTCGTACTAAATGGATATACAGGAAGTTGATGGATGCAGGTAGTTCAGGACCGTGCTTTGTGGCATTCCTTAGGGGAGGCCTATTGTTGTCGACATAAAGTTATAAGATAACAAAACACCACATCATTTCTTGCTTTTGCCTGAATTTAGTAAAAGCACTTCAGTGTTATTTTGTTCAAGTATCTGACTAGTATTTGACGTAGTAATTTATATAGCTTATGAATATGTATCAAAATATCGACACATATCATAGTGTATGTTAGTGATGATGATTGTAATGTGATGTAATAATAAATTGAAATGTTGGTTGCTTGTTATTGAATAAAATCGAAAACTCTTTTGATAAGTTAACAGGTACTTTCCTCATAACATCAACTAGATTCTTTACGTGACTGTCACGTCACTGACTACGTCTGTGAGTACTAATTAACCTAGTGTTTATTGTGGTTTCGATAGTCATTACCTATCATTATTATGAGACTATAAACCGCCCTAAGTAAGTCATAGCCAGTCATTTTTATCCATATCGACAATATTAGGTATCATCAATAAAAAACTTACTTCTTTCTCAAAGCCACATCTTTGCAATTACTCTAGTATTAAAGACGTTCGTAGGTGACGGTAAACACTTGTAAGTACTTACATCAGGCAAGCCTCATACTCATTTGCCTCTTCTTTTATAACAACAAACTTCAGAGATCAGAAATGTTTCCCGTAAATTTTACTGCAAGTTAAATACGGATGCTGCATAATCCAAATAGGCATCCTATATTTTAAACAACTAAAATGTTCGTCAGAAATGCAAAATATGCAAGTGTTTGGTTTTTATACATGGTAATTTGGAATTACCATCGATAAAAAAGTAAATAGTTATTCATTTAATACATGGATACAAAGCAAATATCTTGGAAGATCAAAATTAAAATGAATGTTAAATAAGGCCAAGGTAACAAACATTATTCATCTAATATTTGAGTGGGTCACCAATCACAAATGTTATTTTAAAAATAATGTACCTACTTGTGTATACAATTTTCTTCAAGTATTCTCCTGTTAACAGAAAATTTCTATTTACCCGAATAATATAAGGTTATAACGATAAACCGTTATTAGCGAGATTTTGCTATTAGTACTATGATTAGTATTAGTACTTAGGCTCAAAGACTCGAAGAATTGACATTTCTAAATCCATTATTTATCCGTACGGACTGTAGTTAGTTTAAAAAGTATAAAGATCGGGCTTGGAGGCCATCTCGCGAGTTTTGGGGAGATCTTATAAAAGGTGAATTGATAACCTCTTCATTTTGTTGAAGTTGAAAATTACAAATAAATCTTACCAAGCCATTATCATTTATGATCGATCCAAAGTTAAAGCGTTCGATTTTTTATAATAACTTCTTGTTTATAAGATTTCTATCATAACTGAAAATCAACGTTGTGACTCCACCATAATGAGTGATGCCCTTTTTAACACGCTTTTATTAGCTTCCCGTGCATCTATTTATCTACGCAAGGGAAGCAAATTGACATGAAAATAAGCACTCGTATCTAGGAATGATGACAACAGAATAACTTAATAACTTTATACTAGTATAATGATCAGGGTCACCAGGATAAAACCTAATAATTATCGGGATCATCATAGCTTATGATCAATGGATGTTTTTTAAAGTTTTTTTAAACGCTTTTATTATTGGTAATACTTTTGCTAGACTTTACATTTTCTACCATTCTTCTCTTTTGTGCAAGCTTTAACACATTTTTTTTATTTATTTTTAACAAATAAACGATTTACAATCCATACTAAAGCGATCGTTCAAATCTCATACAAGTGGCGTAAAGCTTAACTTAGGCGGAGACTAAGTGATTCGTTTGTAAGTAAGCTAACGTTGTATCATATCCAGACTAAAATGACGGTAAGTTTGTTTAAGATGAATGCCAGTATGTGAGAGTAAATATGCCGCAGATTGTTCTTATGAATAATAAGGTAAGGCACGGCATATTTACTACTAGTGAAATAATTCACCAAAATGATTTGATATCAAGAACGGTACTGTAAAATGATCTCGTGATAAAAAGTAAAAGCTAACTTCAATGGGGGACACACCAAAAATTAATTTTATTTATTATATTAGTTTTTATATTTTTCTTTAAAAATCAACTAAAACTAGCATGAATAGAATCTTATTACAACACTTAAAAGCACCGTCACGGATCGGACAGAATTTTTTGACACCATATTGTATCATAATATATAAGCATAGTCACAGTATGTTTTGCAGTTTCAGTTGAAGAAGAATAAATATATTTTGTCCATGTAATAATAGGACTGACATCGGGACGTTAGTCACCTCAGTCCCCCGTGATCATGGGTGCTGGAAAGCACCCGAAACGTCGGAAATTAAAAATAAAAATAATTAAAATTAAAATTAAACAGTAGTTTTAATCAATGGTGAGTTAATGGTTTTCATTTGTGGATTTTATTCCCATATTGCAACTGATAAGATAAGACATAATATCGATATTTTCTAATACAATATTTAACCTCAATATGTTTGATAATAACTAAAAACATAAACACATAAAATTATTATTTTTATTAAAATAAGTTAATATTATTATTTCGTATTACTTTTCGTAAAGACATACCTGTTAAATACAATACGTGGCAGAGACATGCTTCAGCCATATTATTGGTGTAGCACAAAAGGTTGGCTTGCTCAATAGTCCAACTCGTAAAGGATCTTGCATTGATCATATTTTGAGCAATATTAAAGACGCTACAATTATTTTATAACCACTCCATATATCTGACCATGATACAGCTCAGCTAAGAATTTTTCCCATTAAGGGACCAAAAATTACATCACATACACACTTTGTTTTTAAACGGGACTTTTGCCTTGATAATAAAAAAAGTTCAAAAATTGCATTAACACCTTATCATGATCGGATGTCTACTAGCAGCTTGATGCGAACATGGCATTTACATATTTCCACGATATGTTATGATTATTTTATAATTTGTCTTTTCCGAACATAAAAGTTAAAATGAACAACATTAATCTTAAAATGGACCCGGTCTAAAAATTTGTTGCAAAACAAAAAGAGGTCTACTCTTTAAGTATTATAAAAAAAGATATGGGTAAATAAAGAAATGTACATGGCCTACTATTAATTATTACAAAAATGCATTAATAACTCACAAAAAACAACAAATATTAAATTTATAAATAGAAGTGAAAACAAATGTAAAGCAACATGATTAGTGATAAAAATGAACTATCGAATATAAGAAAAGATGACAATATTACTGAATTAAATTTAAAAAATGAAACAGTAACAAATCCTGTCGAAATAGCTATTACCTTTAACGATTACTACATTAACAAAGCTGACACTATTTCAATTAACACTGCAAAAATTAAGCATAAGGGCACAACACCAATTAACTCAATGTATTTACAACCTGTCACAGAGAAAGAAGTAAAAAAGGAAATTATGAGTCTAAATAACACTAAAGCGGAAGGATAAGGTGGTATATTCACTAATATATTAAATACGTGCGTCATCAAAATAGTAAAATATATAATTAAATATCATAAACTTGTCCTTTTCTGCAGGTATATTTCCAGATAAGTTAAAGCTATCATTAATCAAACCACTGTACAAAAAGGGGGATAAAAAATCCAATAATCTATCACCATATAACACCAATTCAATCAAAATTATTTGAAAAGTAAATGTTAAAAAGACTTACGAGTTTTTTCTCTAAAAACAATGTTATAAGAAAGGAACAATTTGGCTTCCAGAGAGAAAAATCTACGACTTTAGCACTCTTTAACTTAATAAATAAAATATTGTCCAATCTAAATAAAAATAATCTAACTACTGCACTCTTTATCGACTTATCAATGGCATTCGATTTCGTTGCGCACAAAACTCTTCTGAGCAAACTAGAATATCTCGGAATCAGAGGACCCCCATTATCATGTATAACGTCTTATCTAAGTGGGTGTCAACAAAAAGTTGTCATCAGTAAAATAATTAATAGTGAAATGAGTTCAGTTTCGTCTGAATATAGCGAATGCAGCTCAGGCGTCCCACAAGGAACTGTATTAGAACCCATTCTATTTTTACTTTACATTAATGATGTAATAGAATTAACAAAATATCAATATACTTTATATGCTGACGATATATTCATAATTGTTACATGTAATAAATCTAAAAACAATGACTCTTTACAAAATCATGAATGTGAGATTAATAATACTATTGACGTAATAATCGAATGGCTTAAAAATAATTTAAACATTAATCTTGACAAGTCATATTATATTCAACTCAATAAATCAAAACATAAACAATACAATTTTAATCTAAATGTGACAAAGATAAATAAAGTAAAACAATTGAAATTATAGAAACTATTGACGAGGACTTGAACTGGAAAACACATATAGATCATTTGTGTAACAGAATTAATAAGTTCGTATATGCTATTAAAGGTGTTAAGAATGTAACCGACAAAAGACCGCTATTATGTCCTATCGCGTCTACATAGAATCGATATTGTGCTACGGGGTCCTCCTATGGGGAAACAGTACGGACAAAAACAGAGCATTTGTTCACCCAAAAAAATGAAAAGAAAGAAATTTAAATAATAAAGCGAACCTAGGTCGACTATATATCAAACAAAAATATGTGGATATAAATATATGTAAAGTTAACACGTACATACTAAAGAAGAATGTGTCCAAATACTTGTTTCAGTGGAAACCTGATACTTTTATTTTTATCCAAGATTATTATTACTATTTTGTGAATGCAATTAAATTATTTCCAACTACGTACCATTACAACAACATTAAACAATTTTTTTAAGACTTGCAACTCCATTCCTTGTTCCTAACCCTCACCTCAGTCAAACCCCAAAAAGAGAACATAAAAATAAGTCAGTGATACAATAATCGGAAATGTGTTTGATGAAGGTTTCGTTTTTTCTATGTCGTTTTTGTATGAAGTTTTCGATTTTGACGTTGAGTGCGCTAGTTCCTGTTACAATCTTATTGCGTCAGCGAGACATTTACCGTTCTGCTCCACGCAAGAATTAAATTAAGTCGTTTATACAGTTTTATTCTAACTTCAATAAACAAGTAATAAACCACAACGATGTTAAATCAAAGTTTGAATTTTAAATAGACATTCGAATTACAACAAAAATATAGAAGTGGGTCAAAGGCCAAGGTAAGTGCGAGACTTTACCTTTCCTACCATTCCTCTTTTTTGTTCAAGCTTTAATAGTATTTTACACAAATAAATGATTTACAATCCACACTAAAGCGATCATTCAAATCTCATACAAGTGGCGTAAAGCTTAACTTAGGCGGATACTAAATGAATAGTTTGTAAGTAAGCTAACGTTGTATCATATCCAGACTAAAATGACGGTAACTTTGTTTACGATGAATACTAGTATGTGAGAGTAAATATGCCACAGATTGTTCTTATGAATAATAAGGTAATGCAAGGCATATTTACTACTAGTGAAATAATTCACCAAAATGATTTGATATCAAGAACGCTACGATAAAAAATATAAAAATAAGCTCTTGATAAAAAGTAAAAGCCTACTTCTATAAGGGCTGCAGAAAAATAATTTTATTTATTATATAAGTCTTTATTTTTGTGCGAGGCATTTTGTAAAAGTTTTCTCTAAAAAAGCATTAATAAGCTCTTGATAAAAAGTAAAAGCCTACTTCTATAAGGGCTACACAAAAATAATTTTATTTATTATATAAGTATTTATTTTTGTGCGAGGCATTTAATGAAAGCATTACTAACATGAACAGAATTTCTTAAGCCATATTGTATCATAATATATAAGCAAAATACATTGAATTTCTTGATAGAAAAATCTAAAAACTGATTTTGGCCTGAACCAGTAATCGATCCCAGGACCTTATGATCAGTAACCGCGTTTACGATTACTAAACCAACAAGGCAGTCAATGGTATTAAGGGTTTTGGACACATGTTTGGTCCCGCAAACACCTCTGTTTATAGTTTAATAACAAAATTCGTCTAATAGATTTCGTCAAAGTAACGTTTGATTGAAATAACAGACATAAATTTATTTTTATAATAAGAAAATTTTAAATTATTTAAATGAAATGAAATAAAAAATATAGCAGTCATTTATCAATGTATTATTGGAAAATACGGTGAGTTAATTATTGTCGTTTTTTGGATTTTATTCCGATATTGCAACTGATGATGGTTATAAAAAATCATAAATGTTATTGATATTTTCTTAACACAATATTCAACCTCAATATTTTTTGTTAATGAGTAACTAAAAACATAAACACATAATCATTATATAAAAACGTAAACACATTAATTTTATTAAAATAAGTCAATATTATTATTTCGTTTTAAATATTATATCATACATTACATACATTCGTAGTTACATGTTAAATAATATGGCATGATGCAACTATATTATAGGTGTAGCACGAAAGGGTTGGCTTCAATCAGAAGAACCTCACTCTAACTGAACACCAGTGTTAAATATTAGCTTAATACTGCTGTGTTACATATGAAAAGTATATAGACCTTATCTCCTCCACTCAAAAGCCTTACCTTCCTGCCTGTTGTAGTTTTTTTAACTTTTTGATCTACTTAGTGTCACTTAATTTTACTGATTCAAAGGGATTTTTAATGTTAGCAAAATATTTCGTAGTTACTTTGTTACACTATTCTTCAAACGTAAAACACTGTTTATGTAGGTTCCACAAAGGTAATTTAATAATAGTATTTGAGACTGTCTTCGTAAAAATCTTGTTAAGATTAATATTATGAAATAGCTGTTACCTGCGGCTTCGCCCGCATGGTCACTGGGAAATTAACTATCCATTGCTTTTTGAATTGAAAGAAAAATGAGTTTTATAGATTTGTCAGAGATGCAGCCATTAAAAGGAAACTGAGCAAAATTGATTCGTCAGCCTATTTAAATGTTTTGAAACGCAGCGTATAGGAAAGTATGAAAATAGCCTGTTTATTCCAAATGGAAATGGGATATTTTTTTAATTAAAGGAAATTGAGCATAATTATGCGTCAGGGATGCACACTTTTGAAAAGAAAATGAGCTAAATTGATTCGTCAGAGATGCAGTTTTCTGAATTGGAAGGAAACTGAGCCAAATAAAAAATCCGTCAGAGATGCAGCCTTTTGAGTTGAAAGGAAACTGAGCTTAACAGGTCCGTCAGAGGTGCAGCATTTGGAATTGAAAAGAAACTGAGCTAAATAGGAAAAAGAAAGGAAGGAGGGAATTCTAATTAATTGATTGTGGGAATTTTGGAAAAAAAAAACTAACTGAACACTATTTTAAGACGCTACTGTACATAATGTTATATGTTTTTCTATTCGAGGAAAGAATGTGGAGATTCTGGGCATTTGACAAAGCGAAAACATGCTACATACATCTGACCATGAGAGAAGCACGGTTTTCCTAAGTTGACCACCGCTACCTGTAACGTTTGCCCTTGCGTTTTATTAATTGTCATTGTAAAACTGAGCTTAATAGGGAACTGAAGGGAGTGAAGGTGAGGCAAATCCCGTTAAAGAAGTACAGACCTTTCAAGCAAGGCGTTATGTCAGCAGTAACGAGGCGGCGTGGCGTCTCTTTGGCTTCCCTTTACACGAAAGGCACCCTACCGTTACGACGGACCCTACAGTCACGGTCCATGTGGAGCACGAAATTCAATATCGCCATGTATGAAAGAAGGAAAATGTACAAAGAAATTCCCTAAACACCTATTAAAGAAACAGTGCACAATAACAATGGCTACCCTTTATACAGACGCAGAGCTCCCGAAGATGGTGGAAGGAAAGTTACAATCAAATCTCGCTCTGAAGCGTTCGAAACCTAAGATAATAGTTGGATTGTCCCGTATTCGCCCATTATTAAATATTGCCTCGTCGCTTTATTTATGTACTTGCAGATATACTTGATTGCGCGGACAGAGCTACATGCTTCTAAATTAATGTGGGCATTTAACATTGTATATAGAATGGGCGAATACGGGACAATCCAGCTGTTATCTTAGGGTTTCGGACGCTTCAGAGCGAGATTTGATTGTAACTTTCCTTCCACCATCTTCGGGAGCTCTGCGTCTGTATAAAGGGTAGCCATTGTCATTGTGCACTGTTTCTTTTAATAGCTGTTTAGGGAATTTCTTTGTACATTTTCCTTCTTTCATACATGGCGATATTGAATTTCGTGCTCCACATGGACCGTGAATCATATTTCGGACGATAGTATCATACAATTCTTTATCTTGCTCAGGATCCGGAATCTCGGCGCTTATTATGTCGTCTATTTGGCTGGGCCGCAACTTCTCTTTAAGCCATATTAGAATGGGGGCATGCGGTAATCCTTTTTTTTTGCCATTCAATTGAATACATGAAGCACTGCACCTCTCCTAAAATTTCCCTTTGTTAATTACATACATTAAATTTTGTACT